CTCCAAGGAGCTCGGCACCCGATTATCCATGCCCACGGCGGAACATACACAGATCGATGGTCGATCTGAGCGTGTTAATCGCGTCATCAATGACATTTTGCGCAGTGTTTGCGCTGATAAGCCTAGGCGTTGGAGCTTAAGCTCCCTGTTGTTTAGTTTGCATCAAATAACGCTGTTCATGCCTCAACAGGCTTTACTCCGCTTCACGTTTACGGTCTCACTCACCCTAGCGTTCCGTTAACGCTACTACTCTGTGGTTCAGGGCTTGATGGGGGAGAGGTTGCCGATCGGCTTGCTGATATCAGCCCTGCTAATGTTCAAAAACAAGTAGTCAAAGTCTCGTACAGCGATTGAATTTCTTACGACATGTTCGTGAAGCAATGGCTGATAGCCAAGATTAACAAAAGCAACAAGCAGATGCCAAATACAGAAATTGCATTAAATGTTATGAGGTCGGAGACCAAGTCTTGCCAAACACTAAAAATCTACCTACAAATGTAGTGTCAGCTATTTTTAAAAGGAAGTTGCGTCCGCGCTTCATTGAATCTTTTACGGTCGTGTCCGAGAAGGGCCTTGTGTAAACGCTCACCTTGCCGTGCAAATTGCGTACACGTCCCGTCTTTTTTGTCGGCCTGCTTAAATCATACCGAAACCCGTCCCATGTTGACTTGAAGGTGCTTGCGCCGCGTACACTGGCGTAATCACAGGATGTTGCATCCGAATTAAGCGGTCAAGTTGAGCCTCGACACGAGTCTGACGTGACTCCACCATCTGAAGACGGGCGCGATCGCCTTCCAACGTCGCCAGACGAGATCGGGATTCGCCCAGGGCGTTCTGAGTCTGACTTAAAGTCTCACGGAGATCCTCCACTATCTTCACCAACTCAGCATGGCTTACAGACGATACTCCGACCGCCACCGGCGTTGCTTGATAAGCAAGGGAACTTACAGTTCCATGTGGAGCGAACGCTTCAACGACGTCGTCGTCATGGTCACTACCAATATCTAGTGAAGTGGCGTGGGTATTCTGAGTCTAAAAACTCATGGAAGTATGAGATTCCCCTTCGGCAAGATTACCCATACGCCGTTGACAATTCTGAGCGCCACGACCGAGCTCGTCTTGACGAGCGTCACGCTTCTGCTGTTAGCTCATAGAGTCCACCCGTGTTCCATAGAACTGGGTGACTCCATAACTTGATAAATTAGTTTTGTAGGACTAACAGGCTGTCAGCCGTAAGCCGTTGGCTTGTTAAATTAGAATTTTTCTGACTTAAAGAGCTGCGTAGCTCCGCTACACCATAACGCATTCGCTTGTTATCGTCCTTTGGTTCAAACTGCCGACAAACGGTGCAGGCAGTGCGCGCGCTGACCTGGGAAATAATGTACAAGGCAAAATTTTTGTTTACACTGGAACTACCGACCAGCAGATACAAGTGTCTGCATGATGGCGGTGTATTCCGTAGGGTTTAACACGCGACTTCTGACCGCACGTTGGTTCACCCCTTCGTAACCTCATCATATACCGGATCTTCAGGACAGCTGCCGAACACGGACGAGACGGGATCGAGAGGGAACAGCGCTGTGGAGTGACGTCAACGATTCATCGGTAACGGTCCGGGATGGCAGCAACCGGCGGGTTGAACCCAGCAAAGAGCAGGAACATGACGTTGATGAGGACGCCCACAGCGGCAACGACTTCGCCACTGGACAGCAAGTAGACAAAAGCAGCTGGCCCAGGAGCGTCTGTATGATCATGGAGAGGGAAAAGTTGATTCAGTAGAACAGCCGTGTTGAAGGACCAGATCTGCCGAGGAGAGGGAAGACGACAATGGTGAAGAGGAGATTGATGCCAAGACGTAGGGGATCTCGACGAAAGTGATGCCAAGGAAGTACTAGAGAATGTTGTTCGTCTGCGCGTCGCACTCGTGGCAGTAGACGGCACGTTCCCGCAGGGTGAAGGGTAGACAAGAAAGGTACGTCACGTATCCCTCATACTGTGTTGTCATGAAAATGATACCTACGGCTGCGTTCAGCCCTTGATACGTTGTATAGTCGGCGTTGACGATCACGAAGCCGAATATGATGGCCAGGATAAGCGTGAGCCAACACCGAGTCAAGCTGTACAATGGTGTTCGCCAGTATGTTGACTGGAATCGCTGCATGATCAATCAGAGTTGCATCCAGGAAGTAGCAGTTCGCTTGTGCTAAAACACTAGCTTTGGTAGACTATCGGGTGCAGATGCCGTCACACTAGGTTCAGCTGGACGAGCCAGCAACACTCGGCGCTCCAGAGATAGATTTGGACATTGGTAATCTTCCAGTTGGAAATGTTCAATCCGTTCCTAAGTGTAACGGGGCACCCTGAAGCTTGTACGGATGACAGTACAAGCTACTTATTCTGACGACAGAATAAGGCGGTGCCTCGGAACTTCACGTACACTGGTACGTGCAGAGGAATACGGTAAGGAGAAGCGAGTACTTGGTTAAAGTAAAAAGTAGAACTGTATTTATCATAGTTAATGTCTGTTAATCAACCACTGTTTATCCTCATCTAACTATGTCTGAATACAAATGTGCATATCAACTATCTGCTCACCACTCGTTGCGTGCGTCTGTCGTGGCGCGCCTTCGTTGGTTGATGTAATGGCCTATAACAACCAATTAGGAACTACTCGTAAGTGCCACAGAACATTTGTCCTTATGACAATATTCTGAGAATGTAACTCTTATAGTTATATTCTATTAACAATTTCTTATAAAATGTTATGTAACGGTTCACCCCGTTACACTAAGACTCAGCACTAAATTTAGTCAATGGAAGCTCTTTAAACTCGGCACCTCTGACCTTCTATGGATAGCATCACACAGATAAATTTAACTAGGGAATCGCTAAATTCACACCCCTTTTCCTTAGATGCATACCCCTTTTCCTTAGATTCACACCCTTCCTTCAAAATCTTATACATAAAATCCCTATTCATTTTAAGATTTGTTTTCTGATAAAGGTATTACTCAATAATACCTTCGACGCGCGAGCTCGGGAAGTACACGAAGCCGATCGGGTACGTTTGCCGTACTTATCTACGTTACCTCCATCAGGTAATGACTTTGCTGTCGGTTTAGGCTACACCTGAGCTGTCCGTGGGAGCTCAAGATTGCGCGCCGTCTGATCGTCGACCGCAAACTGGCGCCGCGCTTTCCTGGCAAAGAGATGAAGGAGGAGGGATTTACTCTCGAGTGTCCGATCTGCTTTATGGTGAGAGAGAGACAGGAGGATACTGCCAAGGTGAACCATCTAATGACCGGTTGGCGCTGCATGACGTTACGTTGTTTCTAGCCCTACCCCGGGAGTCTGAACACGTCGAGCTGCTGCAAGAAACCCATTTGATCCGAGTGCTATCTTTAGATTCGGCCGCCATGCAAAACAATTTCGTGCGTGAAGACATTTTGCCGTCCGGAGACTCGAGATTGATGGCTTCTGACTCACGTGTCTTTTGTGTGGACTGTATGTAGCTGTCCATTTTGCAACCAGAAAGGGTTCACTGTCCTGTACACGCCACTGATACCGACAGAGCTCACCTCGACCCATTCCGTGTTAGTAAGCGCAGCCCCAGATTCTCTTCTTTCACAGTTCGATTATGTGCTAAGCCTCATGTTTTGCATTACATTGTAAAACGGAATGTCTCCGCGTCGAAGTAGCGCCATTGACATCCCCAAAGCTACAGAAATAGAGTGCACTATAACGTCAAGTCTTTAGAGTGTGCAGTACGCGTCAGTGGAAGACCGTGATCGGATTCGCGATTCGCTTCGCTTGCAGCTTAGCATCAGCGACAAGCCTGTGACCAACAGTCCACACCCGAATCGTGTCGCAGCGCTGAATGATGCAGCTTCCCGCGTTGCGACAACACCTGCAGACGCTGCGCGGCTAGAGGAACTGATTCTCTTGGAAGCTATCCGGCGGTCGATGCAAGATTTTAGCGTCGAAAAAATGACGAGGAGCGTGGGAAATGGCAGAATGTTCAGCTAACTAACAACGTGAGCGAAGATGCCGGTGAAGGGCTTGACTGCAACGTCGGCTGTGCTAACGGCATGGGGCTGAACGCATCTCAACTCAGCGTTAACGCCCGATATGTGCTACACTATCCCTCCAGCTCATCCACATCTCACTACTGCAACAATGCTGCGCCCCCAGTGCAATCGTCTAACACACCAAGTTGGTATTGCGGCAGCGATTGAAGTTAGGTGTCGTAAGGCTTGGTGCAAACAGAGATGCTTCAGGTAACGGTGGTGCCCACGGCTGTGGAAAGATGGGTGACGTGCTGGGAGTAGTAGTAATGGGCGTACAAACGAAGTGCGAGAAGGGCAAGGACGCGGACGAGTACGAAAACGGTATGCTCGCTAACTTATTTAAAGTCGCCATGCTCAGTTTATCATAGTCATCCATAAGTTTTACGATAGCAGAGTCATCACGTTGGCTTTGGCGTGTACATTTTCAATACATCAGGCGTCTCTCTGGCTGTGGCTTGGCAAGTTCGATTATGCAATTGACGGTTGGCTGGGAGTACTCACGCCTGTGGTTACTGTGACCACAGGCGTGAGTAGTATCTTAGGTATTTCTTACGTATTACTTACCAATTAATGGCCTAGATTATCGAGTAATACCTTTGTCAGAAAACAAATCTTAAAATAAATAGGGATTTTATATATAAGATTTTGAAGGAAGGGTGTGAATCTAAGGAAAAGGGGTATGAATTTAGCTAAGCCCTTTAACTATTAAGCTAATTAGTTGTTCGTAAAAGCGTTTGACGGCGTTTGCAGGACGGAATAGCAAAATTCAAAGTACGGAATAGACTCGCCCAAGATGAAAGCCGGTATTCGTTACGCACTCTGTGGTACTGTAAATGAAAGTGAACATGCCTGAACGTAGTCTTAAAAAGCAAAAATGGACAAAAGCAAGAAAAGCAAAAAACAGAAAAAGAAACAATCTGGTTACTCGACGAGCTACACGATCAAACCGCGCATTCGCTTGCTCAGGTTGTCATCAGACTCACGCATTCGCTTGCTCAGGTTGTCATCAGACTCACGCATTCGCTTGCTTGGGTTTTCATCAAACCCACGCATTCGCTTGCTCGGGTTGACGTCAAACCCACGCCCTCGCTTTCTCGGGTTGTTGTCGGACTCATGCTCGTGCTCACTCAGGATTCGTAAGTCGTCGTCGGACTCACGCTCTCGCTTTCTCGGGTTGTTGTCGAAATCGTGCTCGCGCTCACTGAGGAGTCGTAGGTCGTTGTCGGCATCACTTGGGAGTCTCAGGTCGTTTAACTCGTCACTGACTGGCCGCTTGTACGTCAATAGATTCGCCGCCTGGATCTCCTGAAGGTCACTGATAGCAAGGAATTTCTCGTAGCTTTTCAACATTGCAAAGGCTGGTGTGTTAAGCAAAACATCGTCGATGTCAAGCTTGAGTTCATTGGACAGCAACTCAGGTGTCGTTCCTTGACATAGCCACATGTAAAACAGCCTTTTCTCCATTCGAGAAGCAATAGCTTTCACACTCTCGGAACCACGCTTCAACCGGGCGATTGTCGATGCAAAGCCCAACAGGCCATCAACCTCCACCAGTTCTTGTATGCCACGAAAATTGTCCGGCTTGACGAGGTTCAGATAGTTCTCCCAGAAACGAAGGAGCTCCTGATCGCCCATCGTCCCTTTGACAGCTTCCTGCGGCTGAAACCACGCAACAAGTTGCCCACGTTCTCTTAGATGAGATACTTGACTTGCGGCCGCATTCAGAAACAACGTATTAGCCCCTCTTTCTTCATCAGTGGTGAGAGCCCCTCGTACATGACCTTGAGCAGAGTCGTCTCCGCTCTTCCGATTAGGTGGTGAGCTAGGTCGGCGAAGTCGTTCAGCCTTGTCCATTGTAGCGACCAAGGACACAGCAAGCAGCGCAACAGTGAAGTGGGGACGCATGGTGGATGGAAGGGAAAAGCTACAATGCGGGCTTTCGAGTGAGAGCTGCGGAGGTCCATGTCGTGATATCGTCTGCTGGCGACCTCCTGCGATAGCGGCTTCTGTCACAAAATTGAAAAGGATGGGCGTAACTCGGTACTTTCTATTCAGCCAGAACGCCTGTTCTTAGACTAACACTTCATCAAGATAGGCGACACGTGACTGTAAATTTATGGAACTGGATATGTCAGACGGTGCAATTGTAGGTACAAGCCCAAAAGCGAGTCTAAAGCAGCAAATCACCACCTCGTTTTGCGTTCACAACCGTCGACGCGTCGTGCTCCCGTGCTCCACGATCTTGTCTGGATTTGATATCATCCGAATTCCAGGCAGCGCTCCGATACGACGAAAAGCTTGCTCTTTTTTGTGGTGGGCACGTGCACGCATTGCATTCGCTGATGCAGCAGGCATGTCACTGCAATCTATTGCCATAAGTGAAGTGAGCACTACTACGATACAAGTACTCTATTAGTCGACGAGCGGTCGCTGGTGATGCGAGGTGGTCCCAGCTCGAAATGAAAGCTCTTACCACCTGCGTGGATCGATGACATGAAATCTGCACGAACTCAGAGGGTGCCAACAAGATAGGGTGCGGCTCACCGCATCTTCAAGAATTCGCCTATCCTGAAAGGAGATCTGTCCAAGAGAAAAAAGAACCGATGAGATAGATTGCTGCTCTCTACATTTGCCAGGATTTTTCAATGACGGGGAATCCTAAAACAAGAAAAAAGGCGCTGAACCGCCGGGTGGGTGAGACTATTCTGTAACGGGGCACCCTGAAGCTTGTACGGATGACAGTACAAGCTACTTATTCTGATGACAGAATAAGGCGGTGCCTCGAAACTTCACGTACACTCGTACGTGCAGAGGAATACGGTAAGAAGAAGCGAGTACTTGGTTAAAGTAAAAAGCAGAACTGTATTTATAATAGTTAATGTCTGCAATAAATCACTATTAATCCTCATCTAACTATGTCTGAATACAAATGTGCATATCAACTATCTGCTCACCACTCATTGCGTGCGTCTGTAGTCGCGCGTCATCGTTGGTTGATGTAATGGCCTAAAACAACCAATTAGGAACTACTCGTAAGTGCTACAGAATATTTGTCCTTATGATAATATTCTGAGAATATAACTCTTATAGGTATATTCTATTAACAATTTCTTATAAATTGTTATGTAACGATTCACCCCGTTACATCACCCCCCCTTAACCATCAGTCACTTTAGTGACTAATTGACTAGATGGATACTCATCCCAAATCATTTGGGACAGGGTTTGCACTTGTTGGTTCGAGTCCACTTTCCAACAGCTTATCGCATGGTTAACAAGCCCATGCGGTGCGCGAGCAAGGCAGCCGAGAGCACGCCCGCACGTCTCTGTGCGGACGCCGAAGCAGAAACCACAGCAACTGATGTCTCATCGGTTGATGAAGCGACTCAGCCTGTGTCACTTGGTGATGCAGGCGCTGGTCATGAAGACGCTCATGTCTTCACAGAGAATGAGCTCGGAGTCTCATACTCTCCTGATACGGAAGACGGATCCGTATCGACGGCGATCGAATCCAAGCCGCCTGCGAAGCGTGGCATGGATGATGCTATGCGTCGTAGCATCTTTGGTTCATTTGATGAATCAGATGAACCATCGCCGAAGCGAAGGCGCTCGAAGTCGCGAGACTCGGGCGCTCACAGTGGTGTCAGTTCTCCTATCGACACCACTTCGCAACGAGGTGCCAGTCCTTCTGTCGGCACGTCGCAAGAAGAGCGGACCGCAGTGTGTTGCGTCTCGCTCCCGTGAAGAAGACATACATGCCTTTAAAATCCGTCATGGATCACTTGTCGGCGACGACGAGTGATCGTTATCGAACACGGTTGTTCGATTCGTCAAGGATCCATCACCTTGACCCCAGCGCGAAAAACTATCGCGCTGTGAGTGAATTCTTCATCGATGCTTTCTTTAGACATCGATGGTACAGTGAGAATCACAAGCGTGATGGTCCCTCTCTGCTTCAGGCGTGGAACGCCTACATCCATAACCTTGAAGATGTAGGTCGTGACGCTTGGAACGACAAACTTATCAAAGCTCGTGATAAGTTTAAGAAGAGAACCCCGACGGGTGCACGCTACAAGCTGCATCGTCTGTCAAGGGAGAAAGGATTACCCTGCCTCTCATGGGGAGACTCGTGCCCATGTTGTGTGAACAACTCTGCACGAGCACCTAAGGAGGCTTACCTCCCTAATAGCCCGTGGTGGCGCGTACGTATCTCTATTGAGATGTACGAAGGGATTGACTACCTGAAATCCCTTTACGACCGTGCCGGGAAGACTCTCTCCGGCGGTCCTTCTGCGGCTCAGGATGTGCCGCGTCGTACTGCTCAACCAGACCCAGTACGTTGATCATCAGTTGGGAGCGGGACTCCCAAGAATCCCAGGACGGGGGATAGCCGCGCCACCGGACGAGATAACTTGTCCGACGTCCGTTCACGTCGCGGTGGTTCAACAGCTGCTCAACCAGATAGCGCTGGCCACCGCGAAAGTCCTCTAATGGAGGTGGAGGAGGAGGAAAGATACTCTCCACACGATCATGTGGATCGGTGTGTTCCCGAGAGCTTCTTTGATCGCGTAACGCAAAGGTTACGCGGTGATCTCGAACATGAGCGGAATAGGCGTCTCCAAATGGCGGACACTGTCTCGAAGCATCGAGCTGAGTTTTCCTTTGCTCATCTTGAGAACGAGAGAGCTCTGACATCTCGTCGTGACGAGCTAAGGGTAGCTCGTGGGATTGTTGATCGGTCTCGGGGTGAGATAAATGCTCTCCAGACCCTTGTCGATGCCCATCATCGGGAGCACAAGGCTCTCTGCGAGATGCTTGAGCGCAAGGGCGTTCTTCATCGGAAGAAGCAGCGTACTGATGGTACGGCTTAAGCCGACCAACGTAAAACGTGGGATGCGTTCGCATCTTACGTGGCAACTCGATCGTGTATGCATTGCCTAGGCGGTGCAATACACGAAATGGGCCGATGTACTTGTGTAGAAGCTTACTGCTACCCAAGTTAGTCACTACATGCTTTGGTAGGTTAACCGTAGACAGTAGGGACTAAGTCACCTTTATCAAATAAAAGAGTGTTTGCCCTTCCATTCTTGTCAGCGTTTCGTTTTTTTTATCCACCGCTTCGGCGATGGAGTCTTGCACAAAACGGACTACCGTTTCACGAGCCAGTATGAACTCATCTGATGACTCGTTAGCTCCAGTGCGCTGTGAGCGCACTTCAGCGACAATAATCTTTTCTTCAGTGAGGGCTTCCGCACTCTCACTGGCATCATTTTCTTCGATATCGATGTTATCGATATCGGCATCAAACGCAATGACCTCTTCGTCAGAGCGTGATGAGCGTGAACCAAATCGGTTTTTTCTCGCGCGAGTCCCTCCCCCCCTTAAACCAGAGTCACACTCTAGTAAGGTGGGTACACGCGGATGGCGTAAGCCATTCACGTAAAACGGTGTATGTGTCGTGGACGCATGCACCGAGTTGTTAATGGCAAACTCTACCATTGGCAAAAACTCACTCCAACTCTTAAAGGAGTGTACGTATCCTCGAAGTATCTCTTCGAGGACACGATTGGCGCGTTCCGTTTGACCATCTGACTCTGGATGATCAGATGTCGACATCTTCAAGCGCGTTCCGAGTGATTTGAACACGGAACGCCAGAAATCAGAAGTGAATCGTGGATCTCTGTCTGATACGAGTTCACAGGGCAACCCATGAAGTCGGAAGATGGTGTCAATAAAGACACAAGCACAGCCACTTGCCGTGATTGTCTCTGGTATAGCCACTAGGTGTACCATTTTGCTGAATCTGTCAACAAATACGAGAATACCCGTATTCCCGCGTGCGTCTTTGGGTAACCCGAAGACGAAATCCATTGAGATGTATTCCCAGCACTCAGCCGGAACTGGTAGAGGCTGTAAAGGTGCACGCAGTGAAGGACTTGACTTCACTCGTTGACAGAATTCGCATGCGCGAACATGCTTTCGCACAAACTGATACTGGCGGGGCCAGTAAAAGTATCGACTTACCGTGAGATATGTTTTCTCCCGGCCACGATGTCCTCCTATAAGAGCATCGTGATAATCGAACATGATCCGCAAACGCAAATCAGTATCATCTGGAATGACAACACGTGGTGTGTCACCAGAAACGGCTGTATAATACAGTAAACCGTTGCGAGTAGTGTGCCGATCTGATGCAGATCGATACGCAGACGACAATCGTTTCAACGATTCTCGAGATGGTTGGGAGAGATGTGTCAACAACTTCACAATCTCACCATCTTGGGCGTATGCCCGCCTCACATCATCATACAACGGTGTAGATAGGACTGAGGACGTCATAACCGCAACAGTGACTGTCTCACTGTTGGGTTTCGCGACTGTTTCAAAGTCGGGACGACGTGAGAGTGCATCAGCGACAACATTGAGTCGTCCTGGTTTGTACTCGACCGTAAAGTTGTATTCCGCAAAGAATGACAACCACCGCGCCATTCGTTGTGAAAGGTGCGGGCTGTTCGCTGCCGTGCGTAATGACGCATGGTCAGTGTAAACAATGAAGGGTCTATCTCCTAATAGATAGACTCTGAACTTCGCGAGTGCATACTTCATGGCAAGGTGTTCCTTGTCATGCACTGGATAGTTCCGCTCAGCTGGTTGCAGCTGACGCGACTGATAGCAGACGACGCGTTCAACGCCTTCTAGGTCGTACTGCATTAATGCACAGCCGATTGTGAAATCGCTGGCATCACAGACCACATGAAATGGCCTGTCCTGATCGGCAATTGCTAGGACTGGGGATTGTATCACGCTCTGCTTGATACCATCAAAGGAGCGCTGACATTCAGCGTTCCATAACCACCTCTCGTTCTTTTTCAACAAACGAGAGAGGTGCACAGTCATCTCGGCGT